TTCCATTGAAAGTGTTGCCAGATGCACGACACAACCGACCATTGAGTAGTCAGTAGACAGTCGGGCTCTCCCAAGCCCAGGAAGGTGTCAATTCCGTTACGGGACCAGTTGATCAAATCCATAATTCTTTAGGTTTTAGAGAACAAGACTGAGAAACTCTTTGAGGGTTAGAGTTAGACGAGACTAGACAAAGACATTGAAGCAGAAGCAGGGAAGAGGAGGGAGGGAGAGGGTGAAAGATGCGTCCGCCTCCTCCAAGAGCCAAAGAGACATTTCATTGTTCTAAAATCTTTATAAAGCTTTATCATTAATAATGTTAAGTAAGGTGATCCAAACTGACTGGGCCTCTCTGGAGGAGCGCTGCCATTGTTTCCTGGTTAGCTGGATGAAGGCAAGTAACTGCCAGCTCTGGGATGCATTAATGACCAGTACATGACATGTAATGTCTGCACTGCGCTAGGTGGCCTCACTCTGTTGTCTCTTTGAGTTGCTGTTCAACTGGATGCCGCTGCAGTGGTGGTCCTAAATAAAGAAAACTGGGAGGAAGGTCCAACCCAAAAAACAAATTTTGAGACCAAAGGTACACATGTTGGGTAGTTTATCATAAGAGAATTTGCTCCAGTCCCGGGAAAGTCAGCACTGCATGTTATCATGTTGTCACAATCGGCCATGGAAAATCGTGAGGAGAGAAGAGGAGGACCCAAATTCAGATGACCTGACAAAGAATGAATGACAAAAGACCACATAAATACACACAAGGGTGAAAAGGGAAGTGGAAATACACACGGAACACAGCTAATACAAATGAACATGACACCGCAGGACTCACGGGCAAGACACAGGAGCAGGGATAAACAGGGAGACAAATGGGGAGATGAGATGAAACACAAGAAGAACAACATGGAAACACAAAAGGGAGACTGAGCACAGAAACACTATGTCAGCGGATTGGTCTGTGACCCCGCATTTTGAGTTTATTGTTATATTTGTGATTTCTTAGGTATATTGAAAGGTTCTTGTAGTTCTTGTAGTATTATCAGGTTGCCTTGAGTTTAGTTTAGGTTATTCTATGTCAGTGGTTAAACTCTTTTTTGCTAGGCCCCCCTTTGCACCTCCCCCAGCACAAACACATCCTCCAACCACACACAACCATATTTTGTTTTCAAACTCCACTGCAGTTTATTTTACACCTCAATCATTTAGTAAACAATTAAACAAAAGTAAAATTCCTCGTCAAGTCGTCTTTCGGTTCAGGGCATGTTCATGTTTCTGGTTCATGTTTATACTTCATAGCTTCACTCGTGTTCCTGCTCCACATCATCTTCATAGTTGTCACAGTCAATTGTAGTTTTCTCCAGTTTAGGTCTTAGTTTAGTTTTGCCCTTGTTACTTCTCGTCTTTATTTTGTTTTGTGTGTAACAAAAGGCCGAGCACCCCGACACCTGTAAGATAGAGGGGCTAAGCTAAGACAGTTTTAACCGAGAAAATGCTTGTTTTACTCCCTTCATGCAGCTCAAATTTACTTGCTGTTCTGTACTCTAGGATGAAGAGAGGACCTGAACTGTCAGCTGATCACCACCTGGTAGTGATTAGGATAAAGTGACAGAGAGGAGGCTGGAAAGACCTGGTGGACCTAAACATAGTGAGGTTGCGCTGGGAACACCTGGCAGAAGCACCAGCCTGTGACATCTTTGACTCCCACCTGCAGCAGAACTTCAACAGTTTCCCAAGGAAAGCTGAGGACATTGACTCAGAGTGGACCATATTCTACACATGCAATGTTCAAGTAGCTGCACAAAATTGTGGC